CTAAGGACACGATAAACAACCATCAAATATGGTTCTCTAGGCGTCTGCATGAATTGGCTAAGATGTTAAACACTATAGGCTATACTCATACTTGTGTTTGTGAAAAAATTAAGTTTTTCAACTACCTTTCTATAGTGAGTGGGGTCTGATAGTAGCTTGCCATTTATAGCCTTAAGTTTCTCAGTGGAATCAAGAAGTGATGTAGAGACCTTGTAATTCATGAAGCCATACTCTTTTAGGAGATCAGTAGTAAATTTCTTCTAGGAGATGAGAATATCATCTTGTCTGCACAATAATTCTAACCCCAGAAAATAGGAGTATAAATTTCCAGATCTTTTATCTTAAAAATATCATGCAGAAACGCCTATAGGGAAGTGATTTCTTCTAATTCGGTACCAGTCCAGATCACATACTCAACACATACAACATAGATAGCAACAAATACCCGGAAGCACCCCTTCTTTGTATAAAACAATGAGTAGTCGTTGTTAAAGTGTGTGTATCCTTTTGAACAAAGGTTGCAGGCTAGCTTATCATACCATTGCTTGCTAGGTTGTTTTAGACTATACAATGACTTGTTTAGTTTACAAATCATGATGTCATTATCCCCCATAAGTCATTGTGGAAATTCCATGTACACCTCCTAATACAAATCACCATAGTAGAAAACATTATTCACAGTTAGTTGATAAAAGCCTCATCCTTTCTTTGCAATTAGGAAAATTAAAATCCTAACAACAATCATTTTGGATACAGGCGAGAATGTCTCTGTATAATCTATACGAGTCTATTGAGTATATCCTTTTACAACCAACCTAACTTTGATACTTTCTACACTCCCATCTGCGCTTAAGTTTGTACACCCACTTATATCCAATAACATTTTTTCCCTTAGGTAGAGGTACCCGTTCCTATAGGTCATTTGTGTACAAGGCTTTAAATTCTTGTGTCAGTGTCATTTGTCAAAAAGGATTTAAGATTGCTTCTTCACAAGAATCAGGTTCACACATTCATATAAAATGGTCTTCAATAACTGCTGGCTATCAAATCACAAGTTGGTAAGCAAACATGGTCATGATTGAATATGAATGAAGGGAGGGAATGTTGTGGATTAAGGGTGATAGATGTAGGTGTAGGGGAATGCAAGTTAGGTAAAGTGTAGTTGTATTCTTTCAAATAGTTGGCGGTATGAAGTGGCCGAGTTGTCCTCATAGGTGCAGGTGACGGTGGGAAACATGTGTGTTAGGACTAGGCAAGGATGGTACATGGTTAGATGATTGTGGATGTGCATTTGAATCCAATGTATGTTCATCAATATTATTGGTTACTTGGTTAGTAGTAACTTCATAAAATGTGTTTGTTTCAAACAATTCATCATTAACAAAAGTGTTTGTTGTACCACGCATATAAAACAATTTATCCAAATGATAAATAAGTAATTTCAAGACATAATTGAATTTGGAACCATCAGGAGCAATAACAAAAGGAAAAACAGCTTCGTGAAAAACAACATATCTAAATACATGAGATCTCTTAGTAGTTTGATGTGGTACCTTATAGCCTTTTTTGTTGAAAGGGTATCCAACAAAATGTGTGGTGTTGCCCTTGATTCAAATTTGTCTTTGTGGGCATTCAAAATGGTAGGAAAACAAAGGCATCCAATATCTCATAGGCAATTTTGATTGGAAAAGAAGTACCCTTGTTGTTTTCAAGAGATATTTGCGTTTCATTTCTATCACATCATTATGTTAAGGTGTATAAGGGCATGATCTTTGGTTTGAAATTGGTATTCTATGAGATATGAAGGCTTCCATGACTTGCAGTGCATTACTTTTGCATATGATGAATTGTGTCCAAGTGGATCTACTATGGTAATCCACCATTGTCAAGAAATACTTGTAATCATCATGTAACACCTCGGAAAATGGTAGGTTAAACTAAAGCCTAAACGTGAGGGTAAACGTCATGAAATGGGGTTTAGAAGGGTCAAAGCCAAGAGGCAAGTGCCAAGGCAAAGGGGCCAAACCAAAAGCCAAAGGCCAAGGCTGCCCCTAGCGAAGGCACACTGCCTCACCTTTCACGAGGGGGACCATGGCTCGTGAAGGGGGCTCGTGAAGATTACTTGGCCATGGAAAATGGCCACCCAAAAATCCTAGCTACTGCCTCAACTTCCACGGCCATCACCATGCCCTGTGGTCATGATCACGGCTCGTGGGAGGCCTCGTGGAGTTTCCTTAGGCATGGAGCAAATGGTCCCAAGTGGCAAGGCCACTGCCTCAAGGACCACGAGAGGGATCACAGCTCGTAGAGCCTCTCGTGGCAAAGCCTTGGACTCGTGATTCTCATGCCACCTAAATGTAGCTACTGCCCCAACCTTCACGAGGGGGACCATGGGTCGTGGTCCACACCATGGCTCTTGAAGGTGGGATGTGGTCCCTGACGGGGGCACTTAAGTAAGGGTCAATTAAGTCATTTCCTTTTTAGTCCAATTAAAATGGGGGTGTTTTGGGTATTTGTAGGGTTGCTATATAAGTTGTTTTTAAGTCAAATTTCACAAGACTAAGTCATTATTCACAAACACCCAAATAATATCAAAAATTCCCTCTTCTCTCAATATTTATCTCTATAAACACAAGGAAGAAGAAATGAGACATTGAAGTTAGGGTTTGTGGATTCCAAAGGTTCTTCCCCAAATTTCTTGAAGTTTCTTAGTCAAGGTATGGATTCTTTTCATCCTTGGGTAGCTATCACCCAAAGAGACCCTTCAAACTATGTTTTTAAGATTTCAAATCCCCCAAATCTGGGGTTTTCAATCTATAACATAGGTCATGGGTCTCCCTCCAAAACGTTTTCAATTGTTCATTTATGGTTGATTATGGTTGGTTATGATGAATTATGGTTGAATTAATGGAGTATTGATATTTTATGATGAAAATCACCCTTGGACCCATTATTTCCCCTTCTTTCTAAATTGTGAACTATATATGGCTTGATTGATGATGAGAACTTGACAATTGATTAAGTTTTTGAATCATGATATCCATCTATCTAATGTGTTAATTCTAGAAGTTAGGGTTGATCTTGATTCATATCCTTGAAGGTCAACTTGTTAGGGTTTATACATGTTGATGAGGATTGTATATGAATATGTGATTCACTTAGATATAGTGATGATCCTATTACTATTGTGTAATTGTGGTATTGATGCAAGATCCTTTTTCCCTATACCCCTACCCTTACACTTTATTATGTATGAAGTATGTATGTATGTTATGATAAGCTTGTGGTGTTGATTGAAGGGTTATTCTCATGAAACAAGATGAATGTTATGTGAAAGGTTTACTCACATGTTGATGATTCTAAGGTTGAAAGGACATTCTCACCTAATGAATCTATGAGCTATTATGATGTATGTTGGTTTGAGTGCCTAGTGCATTCTCTCATGAACACGAACTTAAGTAAAGACTAAATATGAATTCTAAAGGGAATTATGCTTAGCACCGAGTAGATATGAGTATGAGATGGGTTCCTTCACGCTAGTAGTTGGGTTCCTAATATGGTTATCTCATGAGATGGAAACCTCCACGTTAGTAGTTAGGGTTTCTAGAAGCAATATCCTTATCCCATAACTATGTGCCCATATAGGTCTTTAGCTGGTGGATCCACCTAAAAGCTAATATGTACGTTCTACCTTAAGCAAGTAGGACACCTCTTTTCAGTGTGGGGGGTAGAACACCGGATTCCATGTAGCTCATATGGTCTATGTCGGTTAATGTTATTTTTCCTATATGATATGAATATGAACTATGATAAGAACATGAACTTTAATTATGACTTCTTAAGAGGTACTACTTAGTATAAGTGGGGGATATGGGACTTCACTTATGCATTGCACAAGTAGACTTTAAGAGGGGTTTTGGTGAGGTTCTTTTATGTTATGAAGACTTATGGATTATGTATGAAAGATATGTATGGATGTTAAGGTTGACTTTACTTGTTACAAATTATGAACAATAATAACTCATTACTTATGTATGTTGGTTATGGACGAGACAAAAGTAAGATATGTATGTTGTTGATATCTTAAATGTGATACTTAGCATTTGATATAGGGTTATGGGACCTTACCTTTGCATTGCACTAGTATGGCTTTGGGGTGCTTATATGTTGGTTTGACTTATGTTTCTTCATAAATGTGCATAATGACTTTTAGACTTGATAATGGCATGATTTCAACTAAATGTCCCTTTTATGCATGTTTTAAGGATTTTGTGTATGGCTTCCATACTTAGTACATTATTTGTGCTAACCCATATTTTCTACATTTACTATGAGTGTAGGTTCCGGTGTTGAGACACACTTCTTCTTTCAAGTGAAGCTTGGGTTGACCAGTGGCGGAGCCAGGATTTTCGCCAAGGGTGTTCATACTTTAGGACAAGTAAAAATAAACCTTGCTAGTCAGATTATAAAGATTGGCTTCAAAATAGTCATGTCTCAATATCAAATTAACCAACTATTCAAAATGAAAATTCTTAAAACAGAAACTTACAAAATATCAATGAATAAACTAAGGAAGATGAAGTAGGACAAATATATTGACGGATAGTTTCATATACACCAAAATATGTAAATTGTAAAGTGGTAACTACAATTGCACTCGACGACACTTCATCTCTTGAAATGTTTTCATAATACACTCATTAGAAACATCTTTAAATACTTTTTTCTCTACATAAGGAACTATGCAACCATCTAAGAATTCATCATCCATTCGATTTCGCAAGTCATTCTTGATAATCTTCATTGCCGAAAAAGCTCTTTCAACTGTAGCAGTGGCAACATGTAGAAGCAAAACAAACTTCACTAAAAGAAATACGAAAGAATAGGTTAAATGCTTCTTTGTCTCAACCAACTTTCTTGAAAGTTCTCCAAGTCCACCTAAATTGGAGAACCTTTCATCAATATCACGGACATCAATAATGTAATTAACAAGTTGATTCTCAAGAGCTCTCATAGTTGGACCCATCAAAATCATCAGGATATAATTCAGCCATTCTCATTATCTTCTTTATGTCAAAACTAGAAAATGAATCAATTGGATTCAAGCAAGATACTCCATTAAGCAAATCACTTGTCACCTCATTGAAACGATCATTAAGTTCTTGTAGTTGCCAATCAATGATTTTATAAAACACATCCACACGATAATGATGCAAAGTAGTACAAATAACTGCTTTATGTCGTGATCTCCCAAAATTAGCATATGGATCATCAAAATTGGGTAATGAAATGCCATGCTTGATACAAAATGCTTCTACCTTTTCTTTAAGTGAATCCCATCCCAATATTTTTTTAAAGAGAGGATCCCATTCATTATCTCTTAAAGCTTGCAACCTTCTCTTTGCTACCTTTACAAGAATCATGGCATTTGCAATGTCTTGCTCCTTTTTATGTAATGAAACATTAAGATCATTTGTGATTCCTAAAACATCTGTCATCAAATGCAACAAGAAAATAGTCTCAAACATTTGACAACTTCTGAGAAATCCCGATGCGCTTGCTCTTTCTTCCAAAGTACTTGCATTTTCAACAAGAGTATCAAGTACATCAACAATAGAGTCAAAGCTACTAATAAAGTTTCCAAATGACTTGTAGTGAGATCCCCAACGAGTATCACCGGCTTTAACAAGACCAAGTTCTTGATTCAACCCTCTACCCGTTTCTAGTTCACCCATATCCAATGCCATTTGAAGATGCTTTTTTTGAGATTCTCGAAAATTATTCACACGTTTAAAAGAAGCTCCCAACACATTCAAAATATTTGAAATTAATAATACAAGTTCACCTACTTGAACACACTTTTTAGAAACCGCAACAAGAGTCAATTGAAGTTGATGAGCAAAACAATTAACAGAATGAGCCGATCTACTTTCTTGTCTAATTAATGTTTTAAGACCACCTAGCTCACCTTGCATATTACTTGCCCCATCGTAACATTGCCCACGTACATTAGATAAAGTCAAAAAATGGTGAGCAAGTACATCTACAATTGCTTTCTTTAGAGATAAAGAACTAGTATCTTTAATGTGAACAAGTCCAATAAATGCCTCCATCACAAACCCCATTTTGTCAACATATCTTAGACAAGTAGCCATTTGATCTTTGCGTGACATATCTTTAGATTCATCAACCAATAAAGCAAAGTAGTCACTATTTATATCCTCTATTATTGCCTTAACTGTTTCAATCTTACACGCAATCACAATATCTTTTTGGATGTCATGAGAAGTCATTTTATTATTTTTTGGAGCTTTTTCTAACACAAAAGGTTTAATTGCATCACATCTAGCAGCTAACCAAGAAAGAACTTCAAGAAAATTACCCTTGTTCAATGACGATTCGCTCTCGTCATGACCACAAAATGCAAAACCTTGATCCAAGAGAAGTCTTACCACATCGATTGAAGCGTTTAACCGAATCCGATATTCATGCTTACTTTATCATCCAACTTGTAAAATGCGGCTTGAATGGATTGTTGTTCTCGCATGAGATCTTCACACTTTCTTTTGGATTGATTATGAACGCTATTCGGTAGACCAATATGTGTAGCAAAGCTATCCTTTCTATGCCAATTTGTAAATCCCTTAGTCAAAAATACATTACCACCACCTTGATTAATGTTTTCTCCTTGAAACAAATAACAAGGTAAACAATAAGCAGCATCCACACTAATACTGTATTCCAACCAATCACGATATTCATCAAACCACGTATAAACAAAACGACGTGATGTTCCAAAAAATTAAGTTTGAGGAAAATGATGATTTTGAGGTTGACAAGGACCTTTAATGATATATGCCCTCCTTATCTCATCAGGAAGGTTTGGATGATAATTCAAAATTGGAGTTCTTTCAGCCGGATCAGCCTTTAAATCATTTACATCAAATTCTTGTCTTTGGGAAGAGTGAGATGATATTTCTATTTGGTTGACATTTTCATCTCGGCGTAGTTGATTTTGATTTTGAGGCGCCAAACTTGTTTTGGGTACTCTAAAAAAATATTTCTCCAAACTCATTGAACACCAAACTGAAATAGTAGTCAAGTTCAAGTATACCAAATTTATTAAAAATCATCCACAATACACCAAATAGTTGATCGATACTCAAATAAATAAAGTAACTTTTAACATAAAAATTAAGATATTCAAGTCTTTCAACACTTGATTAGAAAAAACTGAACTAAAGGAAAAAAAGAATTAAGAAATACCTTTTCACACTTCAATGGCGGTTGAGGAAGAAATATACAATGATTAAAGCTTCTAATTTCTTCAAACTTGCAAATATGTATGAACGTTGAGAAGAGAGAAAGGTAAAGAGTAAAGTTGTAAAGGGTTTTTGGGAGAAGAAGAAGTCAAAAAACTAAAAGGAAAAAGACAACTATGAATCTATTCTTTTTTAAATTAAGAAAAGTAAAAAATAGACCTTTTATTTCCTTTTGTTTTTCTTAACTTAAAAAAGGTAACTTTTGTACTTTTTCTTAAGAGAAAAACGGAACAAATATTAAATAAATGAAATGTTCAAGCCTGGGATCGAACCCAGGCTGAGTTTTGCCTTTTCTAAGAGAACAAACGGAATAATGAAAAAATTGAAAGAAAACGCCAACACTTGGGCTCGAACCTGGAACGCTGAGGCATCTTTGCACAACCTTAACCGCTGGGCTGTCAACCTTTATTGTGTCAAGGTTGTTCAACAGTTAGTATATATCCAAAAAAATTGATATTTAGTATATATATTCGTAAAATTTTTCCAACGAAGGTTGTTCATCTGACCACCCTCGCCATGTCATAGCTCCGCCCCTGGGGTTGACTATTCCCTAGGCTTGGTGAGTCCTCAAGATTCGAGGACAGGACATTATCCATTTTAGCTTCTATTGTACTTTATATGTTTGAGACTCTATTGATGTAAAAGGGCATTTGACCCTATTTGTATTCTCTATTGTACTATATGGTGATTGAGACAAGGTTTAGATTCTTATTTTCGTTATGAAAAAGAAGTTGACTTTGATTGTAAAAGTTTTTAATTTTTTCCGCATTATGCTATGACTTTATCTTTATGATTATGCTAAGGGCTTGTATGTGACCCCTTCGGCGTCAAGTACATCGTGTTACGTCTAGGGTGTACCCCTGGTTCGTGACAAACTTAGTATCAGAGCACAAGGTTTAGAATGATTCTAGGATGATGTCTTATGAACCACGTCTAGTAGAGTCTTGTTCATGAGTGTGAAGCGCGCCACACTTATGAATGAGAGGCTATAAAATGCTTAGGAAATTTCACTTCTTTCATTACTCTTTAGTCGTGCATTAGAGTTTTAACTCTATGAATTCCTTTTCCTAACCCTTTTCTTGTGCATATAGGATATGACTACAAGAAGGGCGACCGCAAGAAGGATGGAAGAGGAGATTGTGAATGAGGGAGTTCCTCCCCAAGGCCCTCAAGGGTCTCAAGTTCCTCAAGCTCCTAATGATGAGGGGGCTATGTCAAATGTGGAAATAACGATGACTCTCCAAACATTGACTCATGCTTTAACAACTTAAGTCACTAGGGATGCTAGAGTTCAAGTGAACCCCAATGTGAGTACAACCGTTTCAAGGATAAAGGATTTCACAAGAATGAATCCCCCTATGTTATATGGCTCCAAAGTGGATGAAGACCCACAAGGGTTTATTGATAAAGTGTTTAAGGTGCTTGATGCTATGAGAGTGTCTCCACAAGAGAAGGCGGAACTAGCCGCCTACCAATTGAAGGACGTGGTTCAAGTTTGGTATGAGCAATGGAAGGATGAGAGACCCGTAAGAGCGGGCCCGGTAGATTGGGGATGGTTCAACTCAGCCTTCCTTGATAGTTTTTTCCCCTAGAATTGAGGGAGCAAAAGATGCAAGAATTCATCAACCTTCACCAAGGAGGTATGAGTGTGAAAGAGTATAGCCTTAGGTTCACCCAATTGTCTAAGTATGCTCCAACCTTAGTGGCAGACTCTAGGGCCAAGATGAATAAATTTGTTATGGGGATATCCAACTTGGAAGTCAATGAATGTCGTTCGGCAATGCTCATCCCAAGTATGAATATTTCACGTCTTATGGTTCATGACGAACAAATTAGGGAACAAAAGCTCAAGCAAGTGAATAGAGAAGTGAAGAGGACAAGGACCGATGATGGGAATTCTTCCAAAGGCAAATTTGAGGTTCAAGGTAAACCAAGGTTTAAGAGAAGGTTTTCCAACCAAGGCTCTTCTAGTGCTCCAAAAGGTCAATAAAGATAGGGTGTCTAACCCTAAGCCACAAGGAGGTAATAGTGGTAGCTCTTATGTTGAAAGACCTAGTAGTGCAAAGTGCGGCAAAAATCATGATGTCAAGTGCTTAGTTGGCACGGATGGTTGATTTAGTTATGGGAAGAGCGACCATATGAAGAGATATTGTCCCATGCTAAGGGCTCAAGGAAGAGAGGGCAATCAAGTCCCTCATAGTGGTTTAAATTCCGATGCTCCCAATAAGAACCGCTTATATGCTCTTCAATCCAGATGTGACCAAGAGAGTTCCCTGTACGTGGTAATGGGTATGTTGCAAGTCTTTCCATTGATGTTTATGCATTATTAGATCCCGGTGCCACTTTCTCATTTGTATGGGGATATCCAACTTGGAAGTCAATGAATGTCGTTTGGCAATGCTCATCCCAAGTATGAATATTTCACGTCTTATGGTTCATGACGAACAAATTAGGGAACAAAAGCTCAAGCAAGTGAATAGAGAAATGAAGAGGACAAAGACCGATGATGGGAATTCTTCCAAAGGTAAATTTGAGGTTCAAGGTAAACCAAGGTTTAAGAGAAGGTTTTTCCAACCAAGGCTCTTCTAGTGCTCCAAAGGTCAATAAAGATAGGGTGTCTAACCCTAAGCCACAAGGAGGTAATAGTGGTAGCTTTTATGTTGAAAGACCTAGTTGTGCAAAGTGCGGCAAAAAATCATGATGTCAAGTGCTTAGTTGGCACGGATGGTTGATTTAGTTATGGGAAGAGCGACCATATGAAGAGATATTGTCCCATGCTAAGGGCTCAAGAAAGAGAGGGCAATCAAGTCCCTCCTAGTGGTTTAAATTCCGATGCTCCCTAGAAGAACCACTTATATGCTCTTCAATCCCGATGTGACCAAGAGAGTTCCCTGTACGTGGTAATGGGTATGTTGCAAGTATTTTCCATTGATGTTTATGCATTATTAAACCTCGGTTCCACTTTCTCATTTGTTACACCTTTTGTAGCAATGAAATTTGAAGTGCTCCCCGAAGAGTTACTAGAACCTTTTTCGGTGTCTAGCCCGATTGGTGACTCAGTAGTGACAAAAAGGGTCTATAGGAGTTGTCATATTTCTTGGTCTTATAGAGTCACTTTGGTTGATTTGGTAGAATTAGACATGTTTGATTTTGATATAATTTTGGGCATGGATTGATTGCATGCATGTTATGCTTCAATAGATTGTAGGACCCGGGTGGTCAAATTTCAATTTCCAAAAGAGCCAATTTTAGAGTGGAAAAAGGGGAATTCTATTCCTAGATGTCAATTTGTTTCATGTCTAAAAGCTAGGAAAATGATCTCCAAGGGGTGCATGTATAATATTGTTAGGGTTAGGGATGTTGAGTCCAAGGTCCCTTCTTTAGAGTCGGTCCCCGTGGTGATTAAGTTTCTGGAAGTCTTTCCCGATGACTTGCCCGACATTCCTCCCGAATGGGAAATAGACTTTGGCATTGATCTTTTGCCGGATACTCAACCCATATCCATCCCTCCTTATAGAATGGCTCCGGCCGAATTAAAAGAGTTGAAGGAACAACTCAAGGACTTGTTAGACAAAAGTTTTATTCAACCAAGCATCTTTCCATGGGGTGCTCCGGTATTGTTCGTAAAGAAGAAAGATGGGTCCCTTAGGATGTGTATAGACTATCGCCAATTGAACAAAATGACTATAAAGAATAAGTATCCTCTCCCTAGAATTGGCGATTTGTTTGATCAACTTCAAGGGACCAACTATTTCTCCAAAATAGATCTTCGTTCGGGTTGCCATCAACTAAGGGTAAGAGGGGTTGACATTCCCAATACGACCTTTAGGACCCGGTACGGTCACTACGAATTTGTGGTTATGTCTTTTGGGTCAACAAATACCCCGATGACATTCATGGACCTTATGAATATGGTGTTTAGGCAATATCTTGATTCGTGTTTGATCATTTTTATTGACGATATTTTGATC